AGGAGTTTGTAGCAGCGGCTACCATGGGTAAAAGTCGCTTACACAACCGCACAGGTCTTATAACCGGCTTCGGAACCGGGTCCCCCCTAGAGACGGAGAAGTCCCGGGTTCAAACACGCGCAACTTATCACCTATCTTGGCCGCGGTCGCGCCCTGACACTGACATTTTTGACATCAATTTCGCCAATCCCCACCGCCCTGACAACAAAACACTACATCATTCCGCCAACCAGCATAGTTTATTTATTTAGTTATCATATAAATGTACAGGCCTGAAGAGGATTTGTCGAAAGCAAACGTATGCTCTTTTGATCTTTTCGACGGGAATTTTCGCAAATATAGAGCACTTTTAATTTTTTATCTGTACATATACATTTCTTAGTCACAGTGTCGCCAATAAAGTGCTCAAAGGCATTTACTTAAATTTCCCTCGATAAAACTGAACCGAACTGAGGTGCAATAGAGTTCGCCTTAATCGAATGTACCGACTTCGAAGACCATCTGCAGAGCAGGATGATTATGAATCTGATAATTCATTGTTGGCCGGGATGCCCAACGTTAGTGTGGCAGAGAAGAGAAACCAAAGGTGGTCACTAATCGTTAGCACCATAGTCAAGACAAAGAGAGGACGATGAAGGTCAAGGAGCTCAGAGTCGAAGCTTCGTAATTGGCCACTCTCGAATTGTCCACTTCGATGACTAGCAGTCGGCAGAGATTGCGGTTGAGATTGGCGTTCTTCAAGTTGCCATTCTTGGTCCTACACTCTTCATTATGTACGTCAACGACTGCGTCCGTGAATTAGATTGTGATGTCTCTGTGTCTGCGGATTATATTAAGTTTGGAACATCATCGGTACTGCAGCCGGCAGAGAGGATTTACAGGCGCACCTCAATCAATTTCAAAAATGATCGAAGGACTAGCTTTTGCCGTTCAATGAGAAGAAGTGCAATATTCTACGACTTGGCCGACCCAGCTCTCCGAATCCCATGGTTTACTGCCCAAATGTCATAGCATTGCAAAAATTAGACGCGCAGAAGGACTTTGGAATGTGGATCACAATCTCGCTTAAACCGTCGCTGCACTGTACAAAGGTAGCCAGGTCTACAATTTCAGTCCTGTACCTTGTCAAATCGGCTTTCGCTACCTTTGGTGAAGGCTGCTTCGCTAAATTCTTTTTGCGACCGTAACTGGGGTTCGCTATCCAAACTTGCGGATCCTGGTCAAAGAAAAGGCTAAAAATCCCCAAAAGGTTCAAATAAGTGCAACCAAACTAGCGATCGGAAAGGGTTCATTATCCTATGAAACACACTTGTTTAATCTTGATATATTTTCTTTGCGATCGAAAAGCCGTATTGGCAAACAGCTGTTTTCTATCATTCATTAACAGGTCTTTACAGGGTCATGGAGGATAACATAGAGGGAAAAACGGCAGAGGCCGTTGAAGGTCAGCTGACAAAATTACTTAAAAGAACTTCACAAGGAAGGTCATCTATCGGACATAGAATTGGAGGGACTAAGACCCGTGGGTACTACAATACATAGAATCTATGGCCCCCCAAAACTCCATAAACAAGGCGTATCGCTTCGTCCTATCTTGAACATGAGGAACTCGTCCTACCATTCTATTGCAAAATGGCTTGTCGAAAAGCTAAAGCCGCTTCAGTTGTCTGTACCCCAGAAGATTCAAAGACACTTCTGTTTTTGTCAAGGCTATCAAGGATACAGTATTCGCCGGCTATTAAGCCCACCTCGGGCCCAAACCAAATTGGGCTTAATAAGC